TACGCACGCACCACCGTACCGCAGGCTCGACTCGAGTCATGCCCGGCACCATGTCTCGCGCGCTGGCCCTCCTGGTCGCTCCGTGGGCGCCGCTGTCGGTGACGGCCTTGCAGACAGAAGGGCACGGCCACACCGCGCCCAAGAAGCTTCACGTGGCGCACGCCCACGGCCATGGCCACGCCTCTGGCCATGGCCACACCCAGGCCCACAGCCACGGCCATGGCGATAAGGGCCATGGCCACAGCCAGGTCCAGGGCCACGGACACGGCCACGGAGCTAAGGGTGACTCTCGCAACAGCAAGGCCAAGATCCAGAAGCTTCTCACAGACAAGCTCTTCAGCCCCTCTCACAGGTTCGCCGGCCAGGCTAAGACTGTCTCCGAGGGCTGCGACAGCTGGAAGGGGGAGGGGCTGCACTGCGAGACCGAGTTCCCCGAGCACGCCCTTGTGCGCGACTGGGTCCCCCCGGATGCCGTGGTCATGGAGTTCGGTGCGCGCTTCGGCACCACCAGCTGCGAGATCGCCCGCAAGCTCAACAACAGCGGCAACGTGGTGGTCGTGGAGCCCGACCTGAACGTGTGGGACGTCCTCGAGGCGAACCTGAAGTCCCACGAGTGCAACGCCCACTTGCTCCGCGGCGCGGTGAGCTCGGTGGACCTGCACATGGCTGCCAAGCTGAACGTGAAGCGCGGCTACTCCAACAGGGCGCTGCAGAAGGGCGGCGTCGTAGTGCCTGGCTTCGCCTTCAATGAGGTGGAGTCCGCCCTCGGCAAGAAGGTGGACACCCTGCTGATCGATTGCGAGGGCTGCGCCCAGGACATGATGGATCAGCTGGGCCCCGTCATCGAGAGCGGGCAGATCAAGCTGCTGCTCATCGAGGGCGACATGCCTGTGGGGGCCAAGGACTGCCACTCTCACTGCATGGACTACAAGAAGTTCTTCGCCTACCTCGCCAAGCACGGCTTCGAGCAGGTCGACAAGTTCAACGACTGCGACATTGAGCGCACCGGCGCTCCCAAGGGCAAGTGGTGCGGCAAATGGATTGACCACTTCGCCTTCAAGCGCAAGTGAGCGGGGGTGGGGCCAAGCGTACCGACTCTGCCGCGGGTCGACAGCGCAGGTGTTCACCCAGCAGACGGGCCCACGGAGTGCCGCTGCAGTATTCTTCTCCTGATTGTGAACATCCTCTCCATCTTCTTCTTCTTCTTCTTCTTGTGATTGTTCTTCATTTTCATCTTCACCGTTATCTTCATCTTTGACTTCATCTTCGGCTTCATCTTCACCCTCATCTTCGTCGTACGAGCCCGCCACTCGGACCCCGTGGGCCCATGCTTTGCACCCCCCCTCCCAAGGACCCCTCCCCAGGGCCTCCCGCCCTGGCAGGGGGGGGGGTCCCAACCCTCTTGTGTGTTGGCCCTCGTTTCGAACAGTGCACAGCTGGTCTCCCTTCTCCCGCCCTTCTCCTTCTGTGCACTTGTTGCCGAGTTGGTCGTAGATTTTTGTCGAAGTTCAGTCACGCTAGCTTAATCCTGACGAGTTCGGAGCACGCTGCCCTTGAGGCCGTCAAGCGATCCACGTAGCGTGGCCTGCCACAGCTACCTGCTCTCCCTCTCTTCCGCCGCCCGATTCCTACCTGCCCACCCCCCCAACCCCCTCCTCCGCCTCGTCCTGCTTCCGTGCTCACTATGTCTCAAGGGACCCAGGTCCCATACTTGCTCTGCCCTTGGCACCTCCGTACGCACCCTCTGCACCACCGTACCGCAGACTCGAGTCATGCCCGGCACCATGTCTCGCGCGCTGGCCCTCCTGGTCGCTCCGTGGGCGCCGCTGTCGGTGACGGCCTTGCAGACAGAAGGGCACGGCCACACCGCGCCCAAGAAGCTTCACGTGGCGCACGCCCACGGCCATGGCCACGCCTCTGGCCATGGCCACACCCAGGCCCACAGCCACGGCCATGGCGATAAGGGCCATGGCCACAGCCAGGTCCAGGGCCACGGACACGGCCACGGAGCTAAGGGTGAATCTCGCAACAGCAAGGCCAAGATCCAGAAGCTTCTCACAGACAAGCTCTTCAGCCCCTCTCACAGGTTCGCCGGCCAGGCTAAGACTGTCTCCGAGGGCTGCGACAGCTGGAAGGGGGAGGGGCTGCACTGCGAGACCGAGTTCCCCGAGCACGCCCTCGTGCGCGACTGGGTCCCCCCGGATGCCGTGGTCATGGAGTTCGGTGCGCGCTTCGGCACCACCAGCTGCGAGATCGCCCGCAAGCTCAACAACAGCGGCAACGTGGTGGTCGTAGAGCCCGACCTGAACGTGTGGGACGTCCTCGAGGCGAACCTGAAGTCCCACGAGTGCAACGCCCACTTGCTCCGCGGCGCGGTGAGCTCGGTGGACCTGCACATGGCTGCCAAGCTGAACGTGAAGCGCGGCTACTCCAACAGGGCGCTGCAGAAGGGCGGCGTCGTAGTGCCCGGCTTCGCCTTCAATGAGGTGGAGTCCGCCCTCGGCAAGAAGGTGGACACCCTGCTGATCGATTGCGAGGGCTGCGCCCAGGACATGATGGATCAGCTGGGCCCCGTCATCGAGAGCGGGCAGATCAAGCTGCTGCTCATCGAGGGCGACATGCCTGTGGGGGCCAAGGACTGCCACTCTCACTGCATGGACTACAAGAAGTTCTTCGCCTACCTCGCCAAGCACGGCTTCGAGCAGGTCGACAAGTTCAACGACTGCGACATTGAGCGCACCGGCGCTCCCAAGGGCAAGTGGTGCGGCAAATGGATCGACCACTTCGCCTTCAAGCGCAAGTGAGCGGGGGTGGGGCCAAGCGTACCGACTCTGCCGCGGGTCGACAGCGCAGGTGTTCACCCAGCAGACGGGCCCACGGAGCGCCGCTGCAGTATTCTTCTCCTGATTGTGAACATCCTCTCCATCTTCTCCTTCTTCTTGTGATTGTTCTTCATTTTCATCTTCCCCGTTAGTTTCATCTTTGACTTCATCTTCGGCTTCATCTTCACCCTCATCTTCGTCGTACGAGCCCGCCCCTCGGACCCCGTGGGCCCATGCTTTGCACCCCCCCTCCCAAGGACCCCTCCCCAGGGCCTCCCGCCCTGGCAGGGGGGGGGGTCCCAACCCTCTTGTGTGTTGGCCCTCGTTTCGAACAGTGCACAGCTGGTCTCCGTTCTCCCGCCCTCCTCCTTCTGTGCACTTGTTGCCGAGTTGGTCGTAGATTTTTGTCGAAGTTCAGCCACGCTAGCTTAATCCTGACGAGTTCGGAGCACGCTGCCCTTGAGGCCGTCAAGCGATCCACGTAGCGTGGCCTGCCACAGCTACCTGCTCTCCCTCTCTTCCGCCGCCCCATTCCTACCTGCCCCCCCCCCAACCCCCTCCTCCGCCTCGTCCTGCTTCCGTGCTCACTATGTCTCAAGGGGCCCAGGTCCCATACTTGCTCTGTTCTTGGCACCTCCGTACGCACCCTCTGCACCACCGTACCGCAGACTCGAGTCATGCCCGGCACCATGTCTCGCGCGCTGGCCCTCCTGGTCGCTCCGTGGGCGCCGCTGTCGGTGACGGCCTTGCAGACAGAAGGGCACGGCCACACCGCGCCTAAGAAGCTTCACGTGGCGCACGCCCACGGCCATGGCCACGCCTCTGGCCATGGCCACACCCAGGCCCACAGCCACGGCCATGGCGATAAGGGCCATGGCCACAGCCAGGTCCAGGGCCACGGACACGGCCACGGAGCTAAGGGTGAATCTCGCAACAGCAAGGCCAAGATCCAGAAGCTTCTCACAGACAAGCTCTTCAGCCCCTCTCACAGGTTCGCCGGCCAGGCTAAGACTGTCTCCGAGGGCTGCGACAGCTGGAAGGGGGAGGGGCTGCACTGCGAGACCGAGTTCCCCGAGCACGCCCTCGTGCGCGACTGGGTCCCCCCGGATGCCGTGGTCATGGAGTTCGGTGCGCGCTTCGGCACCACCAGCTGCGAGATCGCCCGCAAGCTCAACAACAGCGGCAACGTGGTGGTCGTAGAGCCCGACCTGAACGTGTGGGACGTCCTCGAGGCGAACCTGAAGTCCCACGAGTGCAACGCCCACTTGCTCCGCGGCGCGGTGAGCTCGGTGGACCTGCACATGGCTGCCAAGCTGAACGTGAAGCGCGGCTACTCCAACAGGGCGCTGCAGAAAGGCGGCGTCGTAGTGCCCGGCTTCGCCTTCAATGAGGTGGAGTCCGCCCTCGGCAAGAAGGTGGACACCCTGCTGATCGATTGCGAGGGCTGCGCCCAGGACATGATGGATCAGCTGGGCCCCGTCATCGAGAGCGGGCAGATCAAGCTGCTGCTCATCGAGGGCGACATGCCTGTGGGGGCCAAGGACTGCCACTCTCACTGCATGGACTACAAGAAGTTCTTCGCCTACCTCGCCAAGCACGGCTTCGAGCAGGTCGACAAGTTCAACGACTGCGACATTGAGCGCACCGGCGCTCCCAAGGGCAAGTGGTGCGGCAAATGGATCGACCACTTCGCCTTCAAGCGCAAGTGAGCGGGGGTGGGGCCAAGCGTACCGACTCTGCCGCGGGTCGACAGCGCAGGTGTTCACCCAGCAGACGGGCCCACGGAGCGCCGCTGCAGTATTCTTCTCCTGATTGTGAACATCCTCTCCATCTTCTCCTTCTTCTTGTGATTGTTCTTCATTTTCATCTTCCCCGTTAGTTTCATCTTTGACTTCATCTTCGGCTTCATCTTCACCCTCATCTTCGTCGTACGAGCCCGCCCCTCGGACCCCGTGGGCCCATGCTTTGCACCCCCCCTCCCAAGGACCCCTCCCCAGGGCCTCCCGCCCTGGCAGGGGGGGGGTCCCAACCCTCTTGTGTGTTGGCCCTCGTTTCGAACAGTGCACAGCTGGTCTCCGTTCTCCCGCCCTCCTCCTTCTGTGCACTTGTTGCCGAGTTGGTCGTAGATTTTTGTCGAAGTTCAGCCACGCTAGCTTAATCCTGACGAGTTCGGAGCACGCTGCCCTTGAGGCCGTCAAGCGATCCACGTAGCGTGGCCTGCCACAGCTACCTGCTCTCCCTCTCTTCCGCCGCCCCATTCCTACCTGCCCCCCCCCAACCCCCTCCTCCGCCTCGTCCTGCTTCCGTGCTCACTATGTCTCAAGGGGCCCAGGTCCCATACTTGCTCTGCCCTTGGCACCTCCGTACGCACCCTCTGCACCACCGTACCGCAGACTCGAGTCATGCCCGGCACCATGTCTCGCGCGCTGGCCCTCCTGGTCGCTCCGTGGGCGCCGCTGTCGGTGACGGCCTTGCAGACAGAAGGGCACGGCCACACCGCGCCTAAGAAGCTTCACGTGGCGCACGCCCACGGCCATGGCCACGCCTCTGGCCATGGCCACACCCAGGCCCACAGCCACGGCCATGGCGATAAGGGCCATGGCCACAGCCAGGTCCAGGGCCACGGACACGGCCACGGAGCTAAGGGTGAATCTCGCAACAGCAAGGCCAAGATCCAGAAGCTTCTCACAGACAAGCTCTTCAGCCCCTCTCACAGGTTCGCCGGCCAGGCTAAGACTGTCTCCGAGGGCTGCGACAGCTGGAAGGGGGAGGGGCTGCACTGCGAGACCGAGTTCCCCGAGCACGCCCTCGTGCGCGACTGGGTCCCCCCGGATGCCGTGGTCATGGAGTTCGGTGCGCGCTTCGGCACCACCAGCTGCGAGATCGCCCGCAAGCTCAACAACAGCGGCAACGTGGTGGTCGTGGAGCCCGACCTGAACGTGTGGGACGTCCTCGAGGCGAACCTGAAGTCCCACGAGTGCAACGCCCACTTGCTCCGCGGCGCGGTGAGCTCGGTGGACCTGCACATGGCTGCCAAGCTGAACGTGAAGCGCGGCTACTCCAACAGGGCGCTGCAGAAGGGCGGCGTCGTAGTGCCCGGCTTCGCCTTCAATGAGGTGGAGTCCGCCCTCGGCAAGAAGGTGGACACCCTGCTGATCGATTGCGAGGGCTGCGCCCAGGACATGATGGATCAGCTGGGCCCCGTCATCGAGAGCGGGCAGATCAAGCTGCTGCTCATCGAGGGCGACATGCCTGTGGGGGCCAAGGACTGCCACTCTCACTGCATGGACTACAAGAAGTTCTTCGCCTACCTCGCCAAGCACGGCTTCGAGCAGGTCGACAAGTTCAACGATTGCGACATTGAGCGCACCGGCGCTCCCAAGGGCAAGTGGTGCGGCAAATGGATCGACCACTTCGCCTTCAAGCGCAAGTGAGCGGGGGTGGGGCCAAGCGTACCGACTCTGCCGCGGGTCGACAGCGCAGGTGTTCACCCAGCAGACGGGCCCACGGAGCGGGGCCGAAGTAGTACCAGCGCAGCGCCTTGCGCAGTTCAGTCGGCGCTGCCCTCCCCTTCCTTCTCCTCCTTCTCCTCCTCCTCCTTCTCCTCCTGCTTCTCCTCCTCCTCCTCCGTCTCCTCCTCCTCATTCTCCGTCCTCCTCCACCATTACACAATATGAATCCTACTCTCCTCTCTCCCCTGGTGGCGTCCGGGGAATGTCCGGCCCCCCTCCGCGTACAGTTTTTTTACACACGGGATTCCCGGGAGTAGGGTTTTCGTTTCGTTTTGTTGTTGTTTTCTTTTTATTTCAAAGTGCGGACATCGCTGAAGCCCTGGCCTCAGTTTCGGGCTACCGCTCGTTCCGAATCGTGCTCCCGCTGCAGCGCTGGCGGCGTCATTATTTCCAGCGCCATGCCACGGCTTGGTTTTCGGTCCTTCCAAATAGGCCCCCAAAATCTAGAAAATGGCCCCCCGACAAAAACCATTCGGTGTCGATTCGTTGATTTTTGGGCCGCGGAATCCCCCCCCACTTTGGGGCGTTGCCACGCCATGCTGTGTCAGGCTACGCGTCCTCAGTTCCGCGCTTCCGCGCTTGTTGTTTTTGTTCAAAATGCTGCTCTCGTTGAAGCGCTGGCCTCATTTTCGGGCTACCGCTCGTTCCGAATCGTGCTCCCGCTGCAGCGCTGGCCTCATTTCCGCGCTTCCGCTCGTGCCGAATCGTGCTCCCGCTGCAGAGCTGGCTTCATTATTTCCAGCGCCATGCCACGGCTTGGTTTTCGGTCCTTCCAAATAGGCCCCCAAATCTAGAAAATGGCCTCCCCAAGAATCCATCGGAAGTGACTACGCATTCGGTGTCGATTCGTTGATTTTTTGGGCCGCAGAAGCTCCCTCCCCTCCCCCCCTTAGGGCGTCGCCACGCCATGCTGTGTCATGCTACGCGTTGATCTTCGACACCATGCTATGCAATGTAATGCTATGCCATGCTGCGACATCCGATTGTGCGAATAGAGCGGAGATCTACGCCATGGTAAGGGGTGCGAGGGAGGGGTAGGACGTCAGATATGACGCGAGCGCACCTAGCCTGTCCTCCTCCCCCTCCCCTTCCCCCCTTCCCCCTCCCCCTGCCCCACCCCTTCCTCCTCCTTCTCTTCCTCCTCCTCCTCCTCCTCCTGCTTCTCCTGCTGCTCCTCCTCCTTCTCCTCCGTCTCCTCCTCCTTCTCCTCCTCCTCCTCCTACTCCTCCCCCCACCCTCCGCATCGTCCTCACTTTCTCCTCCTCCTCCTCCTCCTCCTCCTCCTCCTCCTCCTCCTCCTCCTCCTCCTCCTCCTCCTCCCCCTCATTGTCCTCCTCCGCCTCCTCCTCCGGCCGAAAGAAAGGAAGAGGACAGATGCCGGCCAGCAAGCAGCAGCACGGGGCGAGGAAGTCCAGATCTGATCTGATCTGATCTGGAGGCAGAAGCGGGTGGCGCCAACGAGACACGACATGACCTACAGGCCACTTCCGCCACCGCGTGCCCGAGCCGGCGCAGCTGGCGAGCGCAGCTGGGATGGCAAGGGGGAGAGGCAGCAGGGAGAGGACGAGGCAAGCTCAAGGAGACGCAACATGCAGGCGAGGGCGGTGGGCACGTCAGGGAGGGGGAGAGACAGGCGGGAAAGGCGGAGACGGGGGACGGTGATGGGCGTCGAAATCTGAGGGGTCGGCGGTCGTCGTCGCGGGCCCGCTGCGCGTCTGCCAGCATGGTGTCTGCTGCGTTGGTGCTGTCGCAGTGGTGCTGTCTGCTGCGCTGGTGCTGCTGGTGGTGCTGTCTGCTGCGCCGCACTGGAGCTGTCTGCTGCGTTGGTGCTGCGGCGCTGGCGACCCCGCCAGCGTCGACCCTGCGTCTGGTTGTCGGCTAGGCCTCACGTGCCAATGGCCGCCAGCAGCGCTTCGGCGTTGCCCACCTGCAGCAGGGAGCTGAGCTGCTGCCAAGCATACCGCAGCACCTCAGTGTGGCGGGCTCCCTACAGGTCGGGTGCCAGGGGGCGCCTGTAGGCGACCGCCGCGTCACTGGGGCGGCCGCGGACGAGCTCGCCCTCTTGAGGTGGGTACCTCCAGCGTTTGTCGTCTCCTCCTGCTGCTGCTGCTGCTCCTCCTCCTCCTCCTTCTCCTTCTCGCCCTCCTCCTCCTCCTCCTCGGCAGCCTCCTCGGCATCCTCCTCTCACTTACACGCGCCCCCGCGCGGCAGAGGCACTCGCAGGGCATGCAGCTGCGCCCCATTCGGGGAGACCCAGAAGACGAACAGGAACACAGGAAGAGACACACTTCAGCACAACAGAGAGTTTCATTCACTGCCGTGGACAGCGTGCTCCGTCCGAAGGTGGTGCGATACCTGGCCTTGTATGCCAATCGCTTCGCTACGCCCTGAACTTCAGAGACGAAGGGATGCCTTGTGCGGCTGCTGGTCCATCATGGACACTGCACCGAAAAGCCTTAGGAATGCAGTCTTGAGCAGCACCGTGCCGCTTCCGCAGGCCGTCGGCGCACGGCGGCGCCTGAAAGGCTGCGGGTGCGACCGCGCGGCCCACACCACACAGCTGCGGGCCACTCCTGCCGCTTTTACACACAACACGCATAAGACACACCAGCACACAATACACATGACACACACACACACACGCACTCACACACACGCACACCGTGCTCAGCATGCTCGTGTTCCCTTAGATACGAGCTCATCATCAGACGAGGCCTGTGTGGCCTCTGTTTGAACCTTCGGCTGGCCGTCTGGATCGACTGTCGGCCGTCCGCGAGTGGTGCCTGCCCCCCCCACGCACACATTCACACACTTTTTCCGTCGGCGGCTGGGCAGAGGGACTGCTCCGGCGATGTGGCACACTCACACACATTCACACACATTCACACACATTCGCACGCATTCATACACACGCACACACACCCACACACACCCACACACACCCACACACACCCACACACACCCACACACACCCACACACACCCACACACACCCACACACACACCCACACAGACCCACACACACCCACACACACCCACACACACCCACAC